AGTCTGAAAGCACAAATCTTGAGGGATGAATGCTTTTAAACTTCTGCATGGCTGAAGAACGTGATTCACAACTCCCTAAACCTAACCCATAACAACCCTAGGAAGTGATGCTCTTGATACATTCCCTCCATAGCGCCACTCCCTAATGCTGATAAAGAAGGAATCTGAAAATAATAAGCTGGCTCTACTAAGGGGTTTGTTTACTATTGTAATGGAATTTTTAAATTAATGTAACATGGAATTCTGTGACTCACAGTCCTGTGACCTGTGAAATGGAGCTGACATCCAGCTCACCCTTCATCTTTGGCCTGTGGGGACAGGGACCAGCCATTAGCGCAGGTGTCACACGCATAGCTGTTGAGCAACCACCACTGTCAGAGATGAGACCCCAGGAAGAGGAATGAGGCCTGAGGGCTCAAAATGGATATCAGCAAGACTTGCACGTAAAGCCCTGGGTGTCCGAAGATAGACCCATCCTCAGCATTCAAGCAACTGGCATTCTTACCACACTTGCAACCTGCTCTTTATAATCTGATGTGTGGCTCAGAATTCCTTGTAAAAGCCAGGGTTTCCTGCTTCCTAATCTGTTTGCTGGAAGAGAGACTGAGCAGCAAAGAATAACTTCATTTTAAAACATAAGCTTTTTATCTTTTTATTGCAACTCAAACCATCATGGCCTTGGACGGAGCTCCCAAGAGATCCACTCTTATGGAAAAGCAGTAGGTCCCCTCCCTGTAAATGAGCAGTTAAAAGAATGTTCAACAGCGGTGACCTTGTGATGAGCTTGGCAGAGAATATACAATTGGGAATCTGGTGGGTTTGAGGAATGGAAAGATGGTCATCAAAAATACCTTGTCTCATCCTAACTATCTGTTCTGGGTACCTCATAAAATTTTGGATTTCCCCCTATGGACAACAGGTGGATGTGGAAGTATATATGGAGAATGTGGAGGATGGAACCAGGTATATTTGAAAGGTGTCTCCAAAAACCATCCCCATTTTACCAAGGAATAAAATGAAGCCCCGAGAAGTTAGGTGACTTGCCCAAGATCATATAGCTAAAGAGTGGTCAGCCAGGACATTGGTACCAAAATAGTCTCATTCCTTTAGAGGTTTTGTTTTGTTTTGTTTTAATTTGGACTTCCTTCTGCATATTGTTGCCACCTATTACAAATAATGTGTAGATTTGTCCTGCCATGTGTTTGAGTGAGCAGGATCTTTACAGAAAAGTACAGACACCACAAAGGTAATTCGGTCATCTAGCTAAGTTTTTATCTAAATCTCACGAAACTGCCATCTCCCTTGAGCCAGAAGTACAGAGATATTTTCAGAATGATTACAAGTTTCTCTGTGTTGGAAGGTGCGCCAACAAATGTTGTAACAGTTCAGGCCAAATTCAACGCTAACAGAGACTCCAGTCAGGAAATTGAGCAAGGTGTACAGTCTTGCCTACTGGGTCATAAGCTCTTTGGGAGTCTATTTCTGCTCATCATTATTTTTGTGTACTTTTGTTAACTATACTTTAAGGTAAACATGTTGTATTGCTCCAAAGGGAGAGAGATTGCATCTGGCCTGGGGGGTCAGGAAAGCTGAAGCAGGAGGTGGCATAAGAAGGAGGTATGCAAAATAAAATTTAAGTGAAAAAACAAACAAAAAAAACAGAAGTTGGTGCTAAGAAGCTGGTGTTTAAATACTATTCATCCTTCATAAGAACTAACAATTATGGAACACTAATAATGTGCTAGGAGCTTTTGAGACATTTAACTTGTTCCAGCAGACATGCCTGGTGCCCTGCACACATGGTTTTGGAAGATCAGCTTCTGCTGGCATTGGCTGTCAGCTGGTTCACCTTGACCTTTCTCCTGAGGACCACTGTTGGCTGATGGGAAAACCCTTGCCTGGAGATGTCATCTAGAAGTCAAAGTTAAGGAAATCTGACAAAGAGATAGAAAATAGAAAGAAACAAGTGAAGAGGGCTATGAGTAATGGATTTCCCAGGTCTGTCTTCCACCTAACCTTCCTTGGTGGCTCAGTTGGTAAAGTTGCCTGCAATGTGGGAGACCCAGGTTTGATCCCTGAGTGGGGAAGATCCCCTGAAGAAGGAAACGGAAACCCACTCCAGTGTTCTTGCCTGGAGAATCCCATGGACAGAGGAGCCTGATGGGCTGCAGTCCATGGGGTCAAAAGAGTTGGACTCAACTGAGCGACTAACACTTTAACTTTCATCTTCCATCTAATAAACATTTCAGAAAGAGGAGCTTTAAACTTTTTAAAAATAGAGAATAGAAAATAGTTTTTTTTTCTTTCTTTGTTTTTTTTTTAAGTAAATTGGTTTGAGGTGCCCTCAGGTGGCAAGAAGCAGTAATGGGGGAAAAGACATACATGGCCATCACCTAGTGAAATTTCAACCTTTTACAGATGCCAGGGATCCTTGGCTAAGTATAAAGATAAAATCCTACACGTTTCCTCAAGGAGACATAACATGTGAAGTTTCAACAGACTAGCATCTGATTGCTCATCTTCAAAATGGGAACTGTCTACACAATTTAGAAGGAAACTGATGCCAAACCTAAAATTCTATGCCCAGTTTACTGAGAACAAAGAAAATGTGAGAACAAAATAACAGTGTTCTTGAACATGCAAAACTCCGGACTGGACTGGATGTATAATTTGTGGGACTCAGAGTAAAATGTAAACATGGGGCCCCTTGTTAAAAAATACTAAGACTTTGAAGAAGACAGCCGCAGACCATTAAACCAAGTGTGGAGCTCTTCTGAATGCAGAGTCCCAGGTGACTGCCTGGGTTTGCAAGATCATGATGATTCCTTGGACTCAGTAAAACTTACCATCTATGAGCTCTTTCTGGAAAAATGAAAAATTAATTTAAAAAAGAGGTGAGGGGGAATTCCCTGGTGGTCCAGTGGTTAGGACTTGGAGCATTCCCCAGATTCTGGCCCTGGTTAGGGAACTAAGATCCTGTAAGCTGTGTGGCGTGGCCAAAACAAAAAGTGAGAAAACAAACTAAAACACCAAAATACCCTCCTAGTAAAACTTATAAGGCCTCGGTGGGCCATAGTTTGCTAACCCCTGATTTAGAAGCACATGACATAGATCAGGAGGGGTCAGGGTGAGATAGATGTAAGGATTAGGGTTAGCAGGACATTCATTGCCTCATTCACCTCAGATTGTGTAAAGAGCATCCCATGAAGTTGTGCAGTGCACAGACAGCACAACTGTACATGATAGACTTGAGGGTAAGATTTTTTAAAAAGCAAACCTTCCAATCTAGACGGTCATATCCTGAGAATGTCTGAGTGCTAGGGCCCTAGACAGCACCCTATTCCTCAGTGGAGTGGGAGTGACAGATTTCCTCTTCCTTGGAGAGGAAAGTGGGGATAGAGGAGTATACTCTCTTGCTGAAAGGTAATAAACTTCGAAAAATATCAGGTTCTCAGCATCACACAATGTCTTACTTCCCAGAGGATGAGGAAGTCAGACCCACCCAGTGAGCCGGTCTCATGGAATTTGGCCTCCCTGCTTCATGGGGCCTGTCCAGCTCTGCCACACTATGGAAACAGGGGCAGCTACACAACCCTCCTGAGGCAGAATCACACATCTCAGAAAGGACCAAGAAGGTCATAGTTCTTCTCACTTTCCTGGAACTTCATCCCTGGCCTCCTGGGACAGCTCAGGACACAGTTGTGCAGTCAAGCTGAGGTTACCTTTGGCCGCTCTTGGCAGCAGCTGCTCTAGCAGATCAAGAGCAGGACAAAGTGCAAGAGAGATTGAAGCAGGTGCCACTTTGAGCAAGTTTGATCAGGGCTGGATAAGAAAGACGGAAAACTCATTCTTCTGACAAGCTCCGAGCTGTTGGCAAAGATAGTCACCGGGAGTTCTGCTCTGAACAGGGGGGTTTGCCCAGCAAATGCTGGGACGTGGGTGTTGTGCTCGGGAGTCAGGAGCTAAATGAGGCAAAGCTGGAGAAATGAAGTTGGAGCCAGAAAAGGAGATGTTACATCAAGGGACGTCCTGATGGGAGACGGGGCAGGCCACTGCTTTTTGAGGGTCTTGCCTTCTTGGCAGGACTGTGGGTATCACCTACCAGAGACACACACAGGCCTCACTCTGGTGGAAACAGCAACATTTCCACCAGTCGCTTTTAAAAATTCTAATCTCAGCTGTGGAGCTGGGAATCTATTTTGTGACAACACCCTTCACAAGACCCACCCGGAGATTCGACAGAAACTTATGGTTTGGCTCAAGTCCCCATGAGTGTCCTGCTTCAGAGCTGGTTATTTACTCGGGGACTGAATGGATTGCTCAGGAAAAGTATGACTAACACCGGGAAGGAGTAATTGAAAGCAGTTTTCTGAAAAAAGATCTCCAGAGAGAAATGCGCTTGCACAGGTTCTGAGACTCGCACAGGTGAGCTGCTTCCTGGAGGCAGACACTGGATTGAAGGGTTCCGATGCCAGTAGTAGAGCAGAACAACCTTGGGGACTTGTTAGAAATTCTAAGGCCCTGCCTACTGAATCAGGTCCTCTGGGCATGGAGGCCAAACATCCGTATTTGACAAGTTTCCTGGGTGTTTTAGACATCCAGCCTGGTTTGGGAAACCTGACCTAGGGGATTCTTCCTGGCCTGAGAACAGAGCTGAAATGACGGCCCCAAACTTCCCACATTCCCCCACTACTCCTGCCCTTTTGCCTGCCCGCACCACTGTCCAGAAGATGGAGACCAGGAGCTCCTGGTCAGGACATGGTTCCTGCTTCCAAGAGCCCCCAGTGCAATGTTTAAATCCTGGTACCAGCTACATCCTCCTCCACAGCCTCAGACAGGAAGTTAGGGAAACCAGCCCTTGACTGGCATAAGTATAGCAAAGCAGTGTGCAAACAGCAGCCTGTCACCCTTACAGGTTGCCCTAAGGGACATTGGAGACAGCCCTTTCCACTGAACACTCATGACTGGCATGCTCTCCTCTATCTACGCTCCAGACAGGTATGTGTGGTGCCCTTAGAAAGCCCAAGGGCACAGCGGCCAGAGTCCACATTGGCCAAGTTGTAACATCCATCTACACCAAGCTGCAGAATGGCGAGCATGTGATTGAGGCCCTCCACAGGGCCAAGTTCAAGTTCCCTGCCGGCCAGAAGATCCACCTCTCCAAGTGAGGATTTACTAAGTTTAATGCGGATGAATTTGGAAACATGGTGACAGAAAGCAGCTCATCTCGGATGACTGTGGGGTCAAATACATCCCTAATCACGGCTGCCTAGGCAGTTGGCCAGCCCTGCACTCCTGAGAGCCTTGGTTCTGTCCGTTCCTCACTTGTGCCCACCAATAAATCCTACTTGCCTGTCAAAAAAAGAGTTATCCTGCTGCTCTGGTGGTAGTGGTGGTGGTAGAGATGGTTTGCTTTGTTTTTAATTGATGCTGGGGTATTTCCAAAGGAGCCACGTCAGGCCACTATAAAGGCAGTTGGTACCAGGGATTGTTCACTTCCATCTGAACATGTTTCAGATTCCATCAGCAAAGTCATGTGTCTACAGAGAAAGAGAAAGGAAAAGGAATTAAAGCTTCTGATGGAAGAATAAGAAAATATGCTAAAATATGCAGAGTGAATATGGGTAGTAAGTATACAAACTCAGAATAACTGCCCATAGTCTAGTGTTCGATACTGAAGACATAAATATGTAACTGGACACACAAACTAAAAATACATTATAAGTTAAAGATGAAAATTTGTGCTAATGGAAAGGGGATTCAATCTAGAAAATCATCCAGGCAGAGCATTTTGTTAAATCAAAGTTATAGGACTCTTCAGTTTTGGTGGACTCCTCCAGTGAAACCCAAGGCTTGGAGATCTTTTGGCTTTTGGAGGAGCTTTTAAATTACAAATTCAACTTCTTTAATGGTTGAATAGTCCTTGAACCACTAGAGAAATTGAATTCAGAATGTAAAAGCTCCATAAAAATCTCCTCTGGTTTCAGCTCTTGACACGTAAACTTAGAAGTCGTTGCTCTCATTCTTAAGAAAAAGCTGAAAAAAATTGCAAGTCAAGGACTTTTCTTGGATTTATCACAGGACTGAGGTCACAGGGCAAACAGCCATTTCAAAACCTGGAGAGAGACAAATCCAAGACTCACAGCCGAGATCTGCTTACCTGGGGCAGAAGCAAATGGTGAACTGGGGCAGATTGTCTTCACAGTTAGACAAACGGATGCTGTCTCTTGCGCCCCCTGGAGGAGGACCTGGCAACCCACCCCAGTATTCTTGCCTGGGAAATCTCATGGACGGAGGAGCCTGGTGGGCTGCAATCCATGGGTTCGCAAAGAGTCGGATATGACTGAGCGACACAGCATGCACACATGCGTGAAGGACTCACACCCATGACGGGGAGACCAGGCAGACCTCAGAGAGAACTCAGATGAAGACTGGATAGTCAAGACGAGACATAAAAATGCTCAAAACAGTTGTTGAAAAATTCTCAAGTTCACTAACAATTTGAAAGAAAAGCAGAGTAAGCCCCTGAGATAGGTTTCCTAAATTCTTGCCGGGCTGGCTGCACCAAAGACTCCCTGGTGACCACATCACACTGTTACACCCTTTGTGGAAAGCAGTTTGGCAGCTGATGTCAAGAGCCTTAAACACTTGTATGCCCTTTCCCCTGGTACCTCCAGTTCTAGGAAATGGTCATAGAAAAACAGCTGGGGTCGAAGGCTCACACCCAAACATGTTTGTCTTGCACTCTAGTCATAGGGAAGTGCCAGAATATGCAAAATGCTAGCAAGGAATGGTTGTTTAAACAATTCATGGTATCCATTAAAATGAATGTGGAGGACTTCCCTGACAGTGTCTAAGACGCTATGCTTCCAACGCAGGAGGCAAGGGTTTGATCCCCGTTCAGGGAACTAAGATCCCACTCATGCTGTGTGGCCAAAAACTTTAAAAAAGAATGTGGAGGATCCACTAAAATTACACTTTGGGTTCTTGATAGTAGGATAAAATGCTCATGGTGCAGTCTTTTTAAATTTTTTATTTTTAATTGAAGGATAATTGCTTTACAATACTGTGTTGGTTTCTCTTTCAATATGATGCAGTCTTAAGGGGAACAAAGAATACATATTTGTGTAATTCACATGTTTTCACCTGCACTTAAAAAAAAGCAGTCAAAAGGAAACACAAAATTTTAGAAGGGGCTTCCCTAACAGTCCAGTGGTTAAGACTCCGCCTTCCAATACAGTGGGTGTGGGTGCAATCCCTGGTTGGGGAGCAAAGATCCCACATGTCTCATGGTCAAAAAAACCAAAACATAAAACAGGCAACGAGTTTTATTATAACGAGTTCAATAAAGATTTTTTAAAATGGTCCACATAAAAAAAATTTATTTCTGGGTAGCAGCAGCAGTAGCTGGTAAGGAGATTGGGAAATACAGATAAATATTCCAAAGACTACAGTTTTAGTAATAAACAAGCCATTTTATGTGAACTTCTACAAATCTTTTTTCGTTGAGCCTAAAAACCTTTTTTAGACTGTAACAGTCAATCAACTCAATGAAAGTTAATTAACTTGAACAATGTGCTGAAATAATTAAATTGATAAGAAAACTCATTGAATTTTTAAAAAGCCCTAAGACTACTTACCGTGATTATATAAATTGTACATACAGAGAAAATTATTTTAATGATGGGCGGAAAGGGAGCGAGGAAAGGACTATTAGCCTGTGTTGAAACTAGTGTGTGTGTGTGGTGGAGGGTTCATGTGATTCCTTTACGAATTCCTTCATGAATTCACGTCAGCCATTCTTTCTCCATTTTTCCATCCCTTTAAAAATATTTTAAACACAGAAAGAATGACAGAATAATATAACCCACTCTTAGATTCAACACATGTTAGCATTTTGCCCCATTCAGATTCTTCTGTTTCTAAGGAAATAAACATGATGGACACATTTGAATTCCTTCCTTATACTCCACCCCCTCCAGTTTATTCTCTCCACCACACCCCACTCCTGCCACACTCACGTCTGTTGGTTCACTGCTTTTCTATCATGTGAGAGAAGCAGCTGTCAAAACCCTAGCTATGAACTTGAGTTATTTGTGCATCTGGGAGAGCAGGGGGCTCAGGACTGGCCCTGCCCTAAGCCTTTCTAGGCAGCCTCTGCCTGCCGGGTGCGTCCCTGCCGTGACCCTGTGACTGTATCCCTCAAAGGGCACCCCACCCACTCAGGGCCCCTTGATGCTCTCTCTCTAAGCCCCATGGGCTGTGTGACCTGGAAAAGCTTTCACTGCAGAGCAGCCTCTTCCTCCGTACAGAGGCATCCAGGCTGTGAGCTGTGGTCCCTTCCGGCTGGAGAGTAGGAGGCTGGGCAGCATCCTGGGCCTCTCTCCCCATTGCAGCCTGTTTGTCTAGCTTTCCTTTTTCATCTCTCTTATGCTGACTGAGAAGTGTTTCCCCACATTTCATCTTTTGGGAACTGCAGTGGTTGAGGAAGTGGACATGGGGAGGATAGTGAGGAGCTGGGGGTGTTATTGCGTGTCTACTGGGCGCTTTACCTACTAGCTTTACTTACGCCGCCTTAGGTGGCGCTGGTGGTAAAGAACCCTCCTGCCAATGCAGGAGACATAAGAGATTTGGTTTCGATCCCTGGGTAGGGAAGATCCCGGGAGGAGGGCGTGGCAACCTGCTCCAATATTCTTGCCTGGAGAATTTCATGGACAGAGGAGCCTGGCGAGCTATGGTCCATAGGGTTGCAAAGAGTCCACACGATTGAAGTGACTGAGCATGCACGCACACAAACTGACTCATTTTTGAAAGTCCCCTCTGGATGCATGATGTGGAGATGACCTTAGGAAAGGCATTCTGACCTTGGACTGTGTGATAGAGAACAGTGACTCCCCTGAAGATGGTCATGTCTCAGAGAAAGACAAATAGATGGTATCACTTATATGCAGAATCTAAAACAAAAAGAATTATAAAAATAAATTTATTTGCAAAGCAGAATCAGACTCACAGACTTAGAGAAGGAACTTATGGTTACCAAGGGGGAAGGGTGGGAAGGAGGGATAGTTAGGGAGTTTGTGATCCACATGTACACAGTGCTATTTTAAAATGGATAACCAGCAAGGACCTACTGTATAGCACAGGGAATATTCTGTAACAACCTATATGGGAAAAGAATTTGAAAAATAGATACATGTATAACTGAATCACATTGTTGTACACCTGAAGCTATCAGAACATTGTTAATCAACTATACTCCAAAATAAAATAAAAAGTTAAAAGAATGTATGCATATGAATACCTGAATCACTTTGCAATAGCAGAAATTAACACAACATTGTAAATCAACTATACTTCAATAAAGTAAATGTTTAAAAAATCATTATTAAAAAGGCTGTGTCGTCATTTATGGAATCTCTGGATGTACTGTTATGAGGTTGGGGGAACTGGGTGGCAGATGGAATTAAGTTGCTAATCAGCTGACCTTAACAGAGGCAGAGTGGCCTGGATGAGCCAGATGGTCCCAGTGTCATTACTGAGGTCTTTAAATGTGGAAGAAGGAGGCAAGCAAGTCGTATCACAGTGACGTAAGGGAGACTCAACTGGGCATTGCTCACTTTGAAGGTGGAGGACGGGGCCATGAGCCAAGGAGAGCAGCAGCTCCAAGAAGCTGGAAAGGCAAGGAAATGAATCCTCCCCTTGAACCTCCAGGAAGGAGCTTGGCCTTGTGGAAACCTTGATCTTGATCCATAGAGATTTGTTTTGGACTTCAGAACTCCACACCTAGAAGATAGTGGATTTGTGTGTTATTTCAAGCCACTAACTTTGTGGCCATCTACAGAGCAGCAACAGAAAACACACTTGGAAGTTTTAGGATGTCATCAAGGGTTAATTCGGGGAGTGGGGAGCCTCTGGGGGGGGCACTCGATCAATTGTTCTCTTCAAAGACCTTGATCCTGGGATTTGGGGAACTGGAGACTTGGTTTTACAAAAAAGGAATCCAGAGACTTAGAGTGAGGGATAAAGCACTCGACCTATGGAAGAACAGAGGTAAGAATTTACATCCAGCTTCTCAAAAACCACAGAAGCAGGAAGCCCTGGAGTGGAGTGAAGTATTTAAAGTGTTAAGAGAAAGAACCTACTAAACTAGGATTCTGTGCTTTG